TCGTCATAAGACGTAGTCACTTTTTGTTGTCTGTCTGCCTGTTTCTCTGTTTACTTTTCTTTTTAAGCCACATGATAATTAAAATCATGGTATCGAAATACGAACAGAGGATCAAGTTATAACTTTATTTTTTGTAATATATGTTATATATTTATTATTTTATTATAATTTTGCTTAGAAGGTTTGTTAGTAATATAATATGAAAAATTGCAGTCGAATTGAGAACCAACTTAATTATTTCATTTGAAACAACAAGAGTAGTTACTATGTAATTAATACAAACTCTGTTTTATATATTAAATACAATAGATACGAATGAGAGCAACACCAGTAATGAATAATTAATTTGGTTAAATGATAATCTGCTCTTATTTGAATGGTATAACTGTTTTGTGATTACGTTTAATCGCAAATTCCCTTTCTAATAAAATATTAACACAACTAAACACAGTGATTAATCGCTCAGTGAATATACCTTTCATATCCTGACGCGCTATTACAGTTCTAGAACCATTAATTTATATATTTAGCGTTCAGTTTACGTATTTGTATACAAATTATTCCTAATATTACGAAACAGAGATAAGAATTAATTCCACTAATGTTATAAACTAGCGACCCGCCCTGGCTTCGCACGGATGCAATATTTGTTTGAGTAACTTTTAAACTATTCGACACATTTTAGTGTGGCTAGTATTTTGACGTGTGTGAAAGTATATAATAAATTAATAATTGAATAATTATTAACAATAATAAATAAACCTCCTGACCCACTACATCAATTAACATGCTGTAAAAAGTAAACTTTATCTCCATGAAATTTCCATTTTGATTTAGCTATTTGTTCTTATAAGAATTTGTGAACAATATGTAACACCTATATCCAAACATAATTTTCTAAAATTTATTTTACTGAGATTTTTTTGGCTGAAGTAATAAATTATTATTATTGTTATTTTAACTATTACTAATTATTAGATATATGGTATTACGGACTTCTTTTTGTAGTTAAAAGTATTGAATATTTTCTCTATAGATTTTATTTATTTATTTCCAACCGTTTACGCAGCGCACGCAATATTATAGAATTTTTGCCGATTTCAATTATATTTATTGTGAATAATTATTGAAAATATATACATATCAAAATAAAATGTACTCTATAATACTCAAGAATAATACACCTTTCTAACAGTGTAAGAATTTTTAAAATTGAATCAGTAGCACCAGAGATTACCCAAATATTTAAACTCACAAATTTACCTCTTTATAATATCAGTATAGGTAAAAAAGTTTATGAAGATATTTGAAAGTTTGATATATAATTATTGTCGGAATGCTATATTTGTAAAAATATATGTTACTTAATCAAGTTTTATTAGAAAGCAGGTGTAATTAGCAGCTGTTTAAAAATAACTTACACAAGTGTCTTCGAATGAAATAAATGTTATGTTATTGAACATAAATATCATGGAATAACAATATGTATTATTTATATAAGTTTTCGAATAACTTTCCAGTGATAGGGAATACCTCTAACGAACGGGCAGCTGCCTTGTCCTCTGCCATGCTTCAAATGCTCGCAAAAACGTGAACAAGTTAAATGTTAACTGTAAAGAACTTAATCGACAAATGCGTGGTAACTATTGATTACATGAATTTACAGATTGCAGCTGTGAGCATATAACGTTAAATAAAAAAAAACATAGACATCAGGCATCGATATTGCACATTTCATTAAGAGACAATTTTCGCATTGTACATATTATTGTAATTTCGTCAGACATATGTAAGTACAAGTTTTCTGTATTTCCTAACAAAGTTTATTTCATTTATTATCCTTTCTAGAGATTAATCTATAGACTTTACGGATAAAGGTCGTGAATTTGTTTCCTGCACGAAAAATATTTGTTTAGCTACGTAAAAGTAAGGCAATTGAGTTAGTATTACGAGACTAAAGTTCCTAGTGTCTGCTAGTATTGACGAAATAAATTTACCTACTTTATTTTTACTGTAGTGCCAAAAGGTGGGTAATGTATTTCTGGAGTATATACTCTTAATGAAGCGCAATAATATTATTAGATTTGTGTTAATTATAAGAGCATTAACTCTACAAATTATAATACAGTTTTTTGTTGTTATCAAATACTTCGTAATACTCGTATTGTAGGCCGCGTGGTCCTGGCATAGAAATGGTCATCCCTTCCTTTTCCGTGGGTGTCGATAAGGGAGAACGAGGGATGAGCAGGAGCATCCCTCTTAAAAAAATTTCGTAACCTAACTGCGGTTGCCAATCCACCTGCAAAGCATGGCAACTACTGGCAAAACCCTCCCCAGGGGGATGCTTATGTTCAGCAGTAAAAAGTTAAAGGTCAATATGATGATGATGATATTATATTCTCTCTAACCGCATTGTGTTGGCTGGAAGAAATCTATTTAAGAGATAAGCTTAAGTTGTTAAACTAATCGCTGTATCTTTTTATTAAGCACAATAAAGAATATATGTGATGATGACTCGTATTATAATATCTTTTAATTCTTTTGTCATCATATCATATCAGCCATTATCCGTCCACTGCTGAACATAGGTTTTTTTTTATAAAGAAAAATCTTTATTAAAGTAAGTTTATGTACTGCAGGATATTATGTCTAATCATATTAACAACGTTCATTTTGAGTGACTATATAATTCCAATGTTACGCGAGCTGCATTGTTATACCAAATCTTACAGACATTTCAATTCTTTCATCTGATGGTAGTCACTGTAAACCAAATGACTAGATAGTTTATATAAAGCTTAAATCTTCTCTTGTAATTCATCCAGCAATTTGGAACTAGACATAGATAATATGGGTACTGTTCTGTTATCTATTTTCCTCTGGACATTGATTGTGGAAAAAGGTGATCAGCCATTTCGAAATCGGCCATAACGGTCATAACCATAACTTTGTACAAAAGTCGTTTCCTTGGGTACCTCTGTCCCGTTCGTGTTTCAACCGTAAAGCAGTTGTGTTTGCATGGCTGTGTTTGGGTTTGAAGGGTAGGATATGGCGTGAATTTACTGGGTACGGAGGAATAACACCTGAGTCCTCAGGAATGGCAACGCGTGAGGGGTAATATGAGCGAAACAGTATACTCTATTATGTCCATGGTACTGCTCATGTCTATAGGCGACGGTTTTCACTTTCCATCAGGTGAGCCGTCAGCTTGTTTGCTATTCAAAGTTATATTAAAAAAAATAGATGTCTACATTCATTTTGAACGGGTTCGTTATTTCTATAATATATATGTATTGGATAACTGATATTTAATATATTTATTATTGGGCTAATATAACTGCAACATACAATAGATACTACTTTATATTAATTAACATATATTATTCGTAGTTGGAATTTTGTAACCACACCTTATACGAACAGATTATTTTATAGTTATAAAAGTATATAATAATGTGAACATTTTAATATGAATATAAGACTCTTATAAACTTAAAAGTCTGGAGTTAATGTGATCATTTAGATAAAACGTGATAATTTACCATAAACCACGAAAGACGTGCAAGTCTAGATGTTAATATAGTACATTTATAACAGTAACATAGTGATTATCATTATTTCAAAATAATCGCTAGGTAGTAAATAGGTGTTCATGTCAAAATTATCCTGAAACATGAACCAACCGAAAACAAAATATAATCTTTTTACTTAATATGAGCAGGAATTCCCGTCAGAACAGGTTATGTTCCTTTAGGTCAACCGCTGTCGCAACCACTTCAATTGACTTGTCGCCTGCAAGTGTTTGTATTAAGAAATATGTGACGTTTATTGTAAGTCAATAGTCCCGCATGTGGGCGCTGCCCCATTATCGGCGATTTGGACACAAATGGTCAGTGGTCACTCTCACGACTCACTCTTATCTATAAAGTGACAATGCATTCGTCGAAAAAAGAATTGTCCCAGTTATCTTTTGTTTTTAATAAAAATATGCAATTATAAATTCCCTCAAAGTTTTAATTATGTCGTAAAGAGTTTTTATACTAGAGTTTTTATGAAATTTACTCACTAGTTGCTAATGGTAAAAAACCTTTATGTATTTATATAAATAACACAAAATAGTTGATACATATACCAAAAGGTGGTTTTAACTTTTGAGAAGTCCTCAAACATAGATACCTCTGTCTCACTCTATTCTATTGCCAAAAAGTACGTTTTTTTTATACAACTTAAAATGGCAAACAAGCTGACGGCCCACCTAATGGAAAGTGGTAACCGTCGCCTATAGACATGAACAGTACCATGGACATAACAGAGTATACTATTTCACCCATGATACCCCCCATGCGTTGCCATTCCTGAGGACTTACATTGCTGTGTTTCGGTTTGAGGGATATATATTATACAATTATTGAAAATGAAGACATAATATTTTAGTTCTTTTAAATGGCTCTGCTTTAGAAATATCATTTCTGAACGCTCCTTTTATTTAGTTAGATGAAGTATGGCTTATATCTGCTTAAAAAATCTGATATTAGTACTATGTTATAAAGATTATTATTATCGACTAATATGATATCTATGAAATTGAGTTTATTTGATTGTTTTCGACATATTAATAGTTTAACAAATTGCTATTGAACCTGGTATACACGTACTATTTAAGGTAGAGAAGAATATAGAAAACTGATTATATCTTTCAGTGACCATATCCTGGTTATGCGAATGATGTCGCTATATCGGATAGAAATAATATTACAATACAATAAATACAGTTCATTCAGCCAGTAGTATATGGAATAAATCTTATGTCCCGTTAGATGGTAAATCGCATGGTCGCTGTACAAATGAGTCACTCGATAATAATTTGACACATGCCTTCCTCGTCACATTGACGGTATGCACTCGTTATTTTTATCACATTTTTATTGACATTCAAGCTGCCGCCGCTTTTTGTAACTGTATCGATGTATGAATATTTAAATTGTTGTTGTTCTTTCCAGATGCGAGTTACGAGTGCAGTTTAAAAATGTCATAAGGTAATTATTTTAAGTAATTAATTATGTAAATAAGGTATATATTTATATATTCCTTATTTTAAAATTGTAATAAAAAAACAAATGTACAGATTAAACAAATGGTACAATTATATTTTTTATCATAGTCTTGTATCGTTTTTAAATATTAAAAAAAAAATAACATCGTTAACACATCTAATCAATGGTGTTCTCGTTCCCCCGTTGCGATTAGACGATTAGAAAGAAGCAAACCAAATAATAAATACCAGAGATAGAAATTAGTAATACTAATTAATACCAGTTTACATCATATTATATAACATGATTCAAACGATTTTTAGAGACCAAAATGGAATAGCTTACTTCTTATCTATTTGCACTTGGAAACAGTTATCTTATTTACTAATTATTAACAAACACATACTCATCCATTCAATAAGTTGGATTTAATTGAATACATTCAAAGCAGAGAAAATTGCGTAAATTATTTTAAACATATTTTACTGTTACTACTATTTGTATTTGTATAATTAATTCTAAAATTCATACTATTCATAAAACATTCAAATGCAACAAAGCACTCCAGGAATCTAGGAATGATTGATTTGGCAGTGTAAATTGATCCTTATTTCGTGTTTACAACATTCATAACAAACTATGAAACTCGAACTTAGATAATATAGAATCATAGTAAAAATACAAAATTTTATTATAACACACCACTATCATTCAATTAATGTCTTATTAATATCACAATCATGTCCATATTTATTTAATTGTATATTTCTGAATATGTGATATTTAGATATATATTGTAGAATCATAGTAAAAATAGAGAACTGTAATAAACATAAAGTACAGAATATGTTACTCAAACGATGTTATCTTCATAACAAATAAAAAACAAATTGACTTTCCTGAAATAATAATGTACGAAGTTACCGTAACCTTCAGGTAATTCTACTAAGAAGACATCCAATTATTATTATGTGTATAGCAACAATACATTATTCTTTCCGTTATGTGTTCAAAATAAACCTTATTAATACAATACCTATCACAGTATTCATCATCGTCATCTAAGTCGTTATCCGTCCACTGCTGAATATAGGTCTCCCCATAGACTGTCATAAGGATATTACTAGTATTTTATTTTTTATCTTTTAACCGACAGAGTTGGGTAGTAAACAGTACATATTTAAAAATAATAGAACCTATTATAAACGTGAAGTTTAGTTTATTATATTGTTAATGACTCAACTAATCATTGTAAAACATGGTAGACTATTTGGTAAAGATCATAGTTTAGTTTTTGTCCCCGTCAATCAACATATACCGATCATGCGACTCAATTTGATAATACATTTTAGTAATCAAATAATCGATTCTGAATACTAGAGGAATAAATATCAATTAAGTTAGGGAAATATATGAGGTGAAATATCATACATAGAGAGCGGAACAACACATTTAGTTATACTAGACTCTAGTTATACATGTACATTTAAACTGATTTTCTCTTTATATTTTTTTTTATATTATATTTTATATATTATGTGTAATGTGATTAATCATTTAAAATTTGTATCTATTTCAATATATTTTAATTCACGATCGAGGCTTGACGTGATACGATTACAGTAAATAAAACTTATGTACCTGACTTTTATTGCTGGCGTTTCAGGTCTTATAGGTTAGTACCTATGAATTCATAGACGTATTTAAGAAGCCAGGTAGGCCGCGCATACCCCAGATTACGAGTATAGTTTTTATACTATGTGCAAAAACATATTTGAAAGTACATAATATGCCTTCTTTAAACGGCCAGACCTCCGTGGATATTAATCTTAAATACGCCAATAGGTATTATTTACTTGTAATCGCGTCGCATTAAATCCCGATTCTAAATTTAAATATGTGTAAATAACACAAAAGTTTAAAATTACAATGCACCGCAGACAAAGTTGCATGCTTATCTGGTATATAATATACGCCCACAGATTAGTAAACAGGGATAATACAGTGAAAGCTGTATAAGTTAATTAACTTAGGCGGTCCATTCCACAAATCCCCGCTAGCCGGGATTATTGGTTTGCTTTCGACAAGTCTCCCATAAATGAGGTTAATACTGAAATGTTTGTGGAAATAATACGACATACAGTTAGCGTATTGAAATTATATTTTTACCTTTAGATGAAATCTAGACGCGGCGGGTATCAAAAATGTAACAATGGTTAATGGTCTGTTGGTTTATGCGTAATTTTTTCCATACTCTACGAAATTCTAAAAATGCAATATTAATAAAATTATAAAAATAAAAAATTCTAATCCGGACCTGAGCAATCTGCATTCATTGATCCATTGCAAGTTTAGCTTGTCGCTAATATATAACCGCCTTTTGTATCACTTCTCATAAAATTACCCGTATTTGATATTACATAAAAATATACATAGTTTAATAAAAAGTGAATAAATAAATATGGACTTTGATATATACTTACTATATGGAAAGAAGAAGGATACATAGGCTACGCTTTATTCCGGTCAATAAACATAACCAAGTCACACGGACGGAGTCGCAGGCTAAAGCTTGTATTATAATAAAGACGTCACGAAAAATATAGAACAACTATAGAATGTTTAATACAACATTAATAACGCTGCAATAGACAAACGACATGACACATTATTGTTTATGCCATATGGATTGTGATAAGGGCATCCGATACTGATACATAAATATGACAACGCCACACACGTCAACACAAATATTGTAACTCCAATATTACAAGCGTATCCCTTCTCATTGAATGTTCCGTTATTATCCTCTCGTTATAATAACGACAGGAACAAATTGTAAAGATACTTTCTTACTAAAAATAAATATTGTTATATCGATATAAGTATATTTTTTTCTATAGCTATCCATATATTCTGAATATATTTATATAGAGTTTAGATAAGTAATAAAGTTCATTCTCAATAGTTTAGATGGAAATTTTATTAAATAAATTAGGTACATTCAAATAGATAGAAAAAGGTAAATTTTTATTTTATTTCAGTACTGGTTTAAAACTACTATTTTTTTTTATACAACTTACAATGGCAAACAAGCCGACGGCCCACCTGATGGAAAGTGGTAACCGTCGCCTATAGACATGAGCAGTACCAGGAACATAACAGAGTATACTGTTTCGCCCATGATACCCCCCATGCGTTGCCATTCCTGAGGACGATTCAAATGTTATTCCTCTGTACCTTGTAAATTCACGTCATATCCCACCCTTCAAACCGAAACACAGACAGGATAAGAACAATATTGACTTTAAAGTTAAAAATATATTAAATCAGCCGTTAATTTTATATTATTATTTTAAGGGGGATGCTGCTACCCATCCCTCGACCATGATGGTTAATCACTTTTTTATTATTTTGAATGAAATTTAACACGTAATAACTAATCAAATTGCCATATGGTCCCGACATAAAATGGACCACTCCTTCCTTTTGCGTAGATGTCGTAAGAGGCGACTGAGTGAAATTTATAGGTAGTGAGATAGGCAGTAGCGTTACTCTTAAAATATCCCCAAAACCATCGCCTAACCGCGGTTGTCAACCCATCTGCCAATCGTGGCAACTACTACCAAAACCCTCCTTATAGAAGAGGCCTATGTTCAGCAGTGGACAGTTAACGGTTGATATGAACTAGCCAAAATAAGGAAGAGCTCGTAAACAAATATTTTATTACAGAGACCGGAAACGAAAAATGATAGTTGAGATAGGTAGATATGTATTCCGCTCTTACTGTCAGTGGGGGACCGTTGTTAAGGACATAACGACATAACGCCTGTATTTAATGACTTATAGATGATCCTTACTCACACCAAACTGCCTATACCAACTACTAGAGATCATATAAACGACCTAAATTAACCCAAGCTTGATTTATACCTTAAGCCATATATAAAATTGCTAATTACTTAGATGCGTATATTGTACGTTCATTAAACTATGTAATAATTATGCTCATAAAAACTTAACTATATCCACAGTTCAAGGCAAAACCAGAGATTTCCCGTCTCGTACGCCTCGGGCGTATGTCAACCGCTCCGCTACAGATTATGCCCTAATCCCCTTTCTGTACTAAGCCGCTTTCGTAGCTTTGTGCTGAGAATGTTGCGATGCTCGTCAAGTGTGCCTTAAATCTGTTTTCATAGGCCACCACACGTGTACTGAGCTTTCATGATTAATTCGATTTTTAAGTAGGCTAGTTTGCTATTATACCTGTATATTGAATAGACTCTATATCGTTTACAATTTGGGGACAATGTAAACTGATACTTATTTTTATGATATAAACTAGACTAGCTATTACCCGCGACTTTACATGCGTCACTCGTTTGAAAGTTGTGTTATGTGTGTGTTTCAATTCGTTCAAGCATGATTAAGTTACAAATATACAAACATATTTATAAACTATGACATTTAAAATATTAGTACTATCTGTAACTATTTTGTACTGTGACCGAGTTGTGTCCATCAATATTATAGACCGAGATAAAAAGTAATTTCTTTCTCCATACAAAATACCTACTAACGTCTACACTAGACATAACGATAAAGCACCAAAATAACAAATAAATTTATAATAAGTAATAAAGCTAATATTTTTAAGAACTGCACAGCCCTGGTATAGTCAGACAATTACACATATACTATATCGTAGTTCTTTCATTTGCATCCATGTGAAATCAATGTAGTGTACGAAACTAAATATATTGATGGACAGATACTATTACCATTTACTTCTTTTTATCTTAACAATAAAAAACCTACTATCATAAATAATATCGTCATAAATTTTCCAAATATTCATGTCAAAAAGCAACATATCCTTAAAGCCCCATACAACCATCACCATCACTGATGTGACAGCATACAACTTTCAGTTTGAAAAGCATAATTTTTGTATCATTTTTTATTTAATAACTTCAATGTTATTTTGTAAAATAAGAACGTAA